TATGGTCATTGGGGTTTAGCGAATGGTTGTGTGAGGGTTTAACAAAGTTTGCAATTCAGGGTTTATAGAGGTCTAGAGGCTCAGAGGTTGAGAGGGTCAAAGGCTTGGAGGTTTAAAATAATTATGCGAGGCTCGGCGTTGAGGTCTAGGGGAGGCTTAGAGGGCGTTCAGGGCTTCATGTTGAGTTGGCCTAAATAATCCCACCGGAACTTTACTTTCCCCCCCCCCCCCCCCGCCCTCACTTAAAACAACTTTTTTTGGCCCAAGAGTCAAGAGAACAGTCCAAACTGATCGATGCTTCAGGAAAATAAGAGGATCATTTCTGCCATCAGTTTTGTGCGTGATGTATTTTGGAATCGACCACTTGTCGCGAAATCCAAGAGGCTTAGCAGAGGCGCAGGAGATGCCCAGAAGAGGCCAGCCCTTTTGAAGAACACAGGCCCTCCCAGACAAGACTGCGATCCTTTCTGGCAGAGCGTTTCGCAGCGTTGCACAAGCTCTTGGCGTTGTGGTCTGATGCTGCTTTAGCTGCAGACGCGGCTTGCAAGAGTTGTGGGGTGTGCTGCGAAATCCAAGTTTTTTTGTGGATGCGTTCGCGGGGGAGGGTACTTTGGTTTCGGCGCTTGTCCTTATGCGTATGGCAACCCCGAAGATCCCCCACCTTTGCATTTAATTTCAGGCGAGCCCCTCTGGCCCAAAGCCTAAAGGCTCGAAACACTGGATCCACCGTACTTACGCTCAACAAGGCTATAACCATAGTTACACTACTTACCCTACCCTACTGATGAGTACCCATGACTTTCCAAGTAGCTCATTTGTTTAGCAAATGTCGCTGTTGTTGCTTGAAGGGGTGTTCAGGCGAATGCTTTATTACTGGGGCTCCATGACACTGATCAACCCTTAACCCCAAACCCCAACAATTGGGCGCCCTAAACCCTATAAAGCCCCCAAGGAAAACCAAAACCATCCCTAACCCTAAACCCTAAACCCTAAACCCGAAACCCGAACCCTAAACCCTAAACCCTAAACCCTAAACCCTAAACCCTTAGAAGCTGGCGACCTCGGAAGCCTCCTGAGATGCAGGAGCTGTGGCAGTTGACGCCTGGCTTGGAAGGCTCACAGGGTTCTCGAAGTTTGGTATAGTTGGGTTTTAGGGTTTAGGGTTTAGGGTTTAGGGATGGTTTTCCGTAGCGTTTAGTAAGGTTCTAAGGTTTGAGGGGCTTCGTAAGGTTGTTTTGGAGCTTGAAGAATGGGACCCCTCCGAACCCCCTCAGCTAAACCCGCCCTCAAACAAACCCGAAAACGCCCTCAAACCTTGAACCCTAAACCCTAAACCCTAAACCCTAAACCCCAAAACAACCCCCGGAACAGGCAGCTTGCGGCCTCCTGGGCCTCCGAAGATGCCGGGGCTGCAGCGCTGGAGGCCTCTCTTCATGGAATCACACGGGGTTTAGGGTTTAGGGTTTAGGGTTTAGGGTTCGGGGGATCGGGGTTTAGGGTTTAGGGCCTCGGGTTTTAGGGTTTAGGGTTCGGGGGATCGGGGTTTAGGGCTTCAAGCGTAAACCCTAGACCCGAAACCAGGATGGCTCTTGAAAACCTCCGAAAAATGTTCCTGAATATGATCCTCTTTAAACCCGAAACAGGGAACATACAACATGTCCCAGGAGTCTACCTAGTAAACCCTTACGATCCCAAACCCTGAACCCTGAACCCTGAACCCTGAACCCTGAACCCTAAACCCTAAACCCTAAACCCTAAACCCTAAACCCTAAAAGCACCTCGGCCGGCTTGCCGGACGGAGCAGGGGGCTCCACCTGGTGGCACAAATTTGGAAACCCTAAACCTCATAAACCATGAAACCCTAAACCCTAAACCCTAAACCCCCAATAATTCCCCTAAACCCTAAACCCTAAACCCTAAACCCTAAATTCCCTAAACCCAAAAAAACCCTAAACCCCAAACCCCAAAAAACCCTAAACCCTAATTCCATTGCGGGGTTAGGGGATTTGCACGTAGGGTTCAGGGTTTATAGGGTTTAGGGTGGGGTCGTGCACTCTCTATTCTCGGTGGACGAGTGCTTTCAGCAGTCACCGTTCCCCTTCTCAGACACACGATCCCAGAAGCTTCCCCTTAGTTCCTACAGGTATGAACGATAAACGCTGGACCTCGAACGAAGGGTTCAGGATTCAGGGTTAAAGATTTAGGGCTTACTTTCAGGCTCATGGGTACTTACAAGTATAAGGTTGTAAGGGTATCTATGGTGACAACCTTACTTATAGAAAGGGCACTTGCAACCCGATTTTTTAAGTACTCATGAACCTAAAACCCTACAAGTAGAATACCCATGAACCTCCAAGCAAGGGCGCTAAACCCAAAACCCAAAACCCAAAACCCAAAACCCAAAACCCTAAACCCTAAACCCTAAACCCTTAACCCTAAGCCCTTCCCCGGGCCTTTGCGGCTTCTTTGGTTGGCAGCGGCTCCCTACTCGTGGCGGGCGTCGGCGGAGGTACGGATGCCTCCTCACAAGGGCAGCAAGGGTTGAGGGCTCATATTAGGGTGTGGGGTTTAGGAGAAAAACCCTAAACCCTAAACCCTAAACCCTAAACCCTAAACCCTAAACCCTAAACCCTAAACCCTAAACCCTAAACCCTAAACCCTAAACCCTAAACCTCAAGAGTCCGACTAACCTTTCGGAGCCTAACCACAGCACTGTAAATGACACAGCAGCTGCACTGGTGGCACAATAGAGGCGCCACTGGGGGAGGTGGAGGTTTGCCCACGCCCCTTGGGCTCCAGAGGGCCCGATACCTCGTTTTGACTGCGCAAGCACGGTGTTTCGGACGCTTGCGTCAGATGTCATCGCACCCAACCAGGATGGGCTACTAGGCCTTACAATCCCCATAATGAACCCCATAAAGGGCCTTTTAAGGGATTATCGGGTATCATAGCCCATCCTGACCATGTTCGACCACGAATTTGGAAGTTGGAGGCTAGCACACGAGATGCCTTGTTCAGCGTTGTGTGCAACTCCGCTTCCTATGGCTGCTGTTCGTGACCCTAGACCCTAAACCCTAAACCCTAAACCCTAAACCCTAAACCCTAAACCCTAAACCCTAAACCCTAAACCCTAAACCCTGTGGAGGCTGCAGAAAAAGGCACCCGCCCGCACAAACTGTCCAGAGAGTGCTTTTACCAACTCCCCCCCCCCCCCCCCCCTCCCCTTTTTATGACGAAAGGCTTGGTTTAGATTCAGATGGGGGGCGAGCCCCGCACAACCCCCCCCCCCCCCCCCCCTTTTTTCCCTTTTTGAAAGATTAGCAATGTTTTGCTGAACTTGCTGCCCAACCCCCCCCCCCCCCCCCCCCCACCCCCCCCCACCCCCCCCCCCACCCCCCCCCACCCCCCCCACCCCCCGAAATACCCTTTAAGGGATTATACAGGGTACCTCATTCCCCCATTCCCTGCTAACTATTTCAAGGCTATGCGGCTCTCATTCATGTGGTGTGCATATGGGGGGGGGGGGGGGGGGGGGGGGGGGCGGGGCGCACCCCTGGCTTCAAATTGGAGACTTCTAACCCTACTTTAGAAGCACCCATGAACCCTAAACCCTAAACCCTAAACCCTAAACCCTAAACCCTAAACCCTAAACCCTAAACCTGCGAGGAAGGGGAAGTACCCGTCAGCTGGCCTTTGCGGTTTCTTTGATTGGCAGCGGCTCCCTGCTCGTGGCGGGCGTCGGCAAAGGTAACGGCACATCCTGACAAGAGCGGCAGAGTTGAGAGTGTAGGGTTTCCGGTTTGGGAGAAGTTCTTGAAACCTTGAGAACCTGACTTGGATGCTCATTGGTTCTTAGAAGTGTCAGAAGTAGGGTAGCTGTGGTTGTACTAGATTGCCACCCAGGAACCTTCCTGCATATCGGCCCGCATTAACGTCCCTGAACCCCAAAAAGCTCTGGCTATGAAGGAAACCCTAACAAACTGGCGGAACACAAGAGGTGTCGCTGGGGAACCTAATATTTTAAGGTACGTGTCTCACTCTCTCTCTCTCTCTCTCTCTGTATACACAAATGCCGTCATACATACATGCATGCATGCATTCATGCATGCACACGTACATATGTATTCATATAAATATACATGCTACAGATATACATACTCTAGATTCTAGATCTGCCTAACAACGAGCCGATGCGTCGAACGCTTCTGCACGAAGTTCCAGACTTCGTGCGCACTTCCGAAAACTCCTGCTTGAAAAGGCACGCATATCGTGCCAGGCTGTTAAGGGGCTTAAAAAAGGGGGTTTTAGGGTTTAGGGTTTTTGGGGGGTTTAAGAGGGGGTTTTAGGTCGCCCCGCCTGTCGCCCAAGGAAGTAGCCGACTCCTCCTGTGGCGCCGGCTACGACGACGACGCCAACGGCACGTCCGATCGAAGAGCCCTTTGGAGCGTCCGCACCTGGCTGTGACGAGCCTAAGCCCTAAACCCTAAACCGCCTAAACCCTAAACCCTAAACCGCCTAAACCCTAAACCCTAAACCCTAAACCCTAAACCCTAAACCCTAAACCCTAAACCCTAAACCCTAAACCCTAAACCCTAAACCCTAAACCCTAAACTAAACCCTATGGACGAATGGAATACAGGATGCTTTGGGCTCACTCAAAGGCTGTCGTTAGGGGACTGTCTGGCCAGTGAGGTGTGGGATGAAGCCTTAAGCGACATTCAACCATCAAACTCCTGAGATCCTGTTTACGAATCAGTATTATCGGGTGAAGGCCGGTTCTGCGGAGGTGGGTCTTTCCCAAAATAGGGGTACCCCTTTTGTACCAAATGAAGTAGAAACTCCATAAAGGGACCCCTCAAGAGAGTACCCCGATTATCGGAAACTACCAAGTGCTTCAACTACGGGCAAGCGCAGCTCCCGACATCGCGAGGCGCCCGGTACACTGGCAGTGAAACGGTTCACACAAACCACGCCAGTTGCCAATGAAGGAGCCGGACCGTTCATTTGCACATGTCCTCCACAGAGTCCATGAGGATCTTGTCCCCTGGAGTCGCGACTGCTCCAGGGGGCATCTCACGGAGGAACCACTCGACAGTCCAAGTGATCGACTCGCCAGGAAGAAGCTCCTCATGTGCACCCTGCTGCTCCATCTCTACATAGTCGACGCCGTCGTAAATCTCGATCTGTAGCTCACCTGGGGCGTGCATCCCATCGGGCAAGTGACGGAAGCATTTCACGAAGAGCAGCACGCCGTCCGTGTGGGCTAGCCATGAGAGCCCCGAAGGTGTAGATGGCACTGTGCTGGCAAACAACTTCCTTGGGGACTAAATGAACCCTAAAAGGGTTTATGGTTCATACACCTTATAATAGGGAGTACAGTAGTCAGGGTATATGACCCCAATTTTAGGGTTCATTTCGTCACCAAGGTTCCCGGATGACGCGTCACCCTTCTGCAAGAACCACGTCACGCCCCCAATGTGCTGCAAGAGCAGCGGAGGCCAGCTTCCGGAATTCTGTTCGGAACCCGTCTTAAAGAAGGTGAGGCCAGAAGGTGGGACCCTTGCAATCCTTGGTAGCCCAGTAGGGTTTAGGGTTTAGGGTTTCGGGTTTAGGGTAACCATATTTCAATAAGGGCACCCTTCGTTGGGGTTGGTTACTTTATCAGGAGACCCAGAACCGAACAAAAAAAAAAAAGGAGTAAAGGGTACCACTGGGCTGCCAGGGATCTCCCATGGGGCCCACTTCCCTCCCGCCCCGCCGACGTGAATCCCGTAGTCGATGATGAAGGACATCCGCGACGCGTCGACCGAGACCTTCTTGGACCTTGGGGACGACATGAACCCTAAACTTGGGGTCATCTTACCCTGACTACTGTAATTTAGTAATTCCAATTAAGGTGCATGAACCTTAAATTTGGGGTCACATTACCCTGACTACGGTAATTCCTATTAAGGTGGTACGAACCATATTAAACCCGTTTTAGAGTTTTATATTTAGTCCCCAAGGGACACGGTCATGTTGTGGTCCTTCCACACCGGGCTCACAAGCTCGAAGCTATGCTTGAGCTCAGAAAGGCCTCGTTGTTGGTAGCCCGGTCACCGTATTCATAACAAGGGTGCCCTCTGTGTGGCTGGTTACTTCAACAGGAAGGGAACCTAGAAACCCCAAAATGCTTAAACAGAAAGGGAACCTGGAGCTGCACAAAAAAAAAGGGGGGGCAAAAGGGTTACAACAGGGGCTAACAAGAGTTTAGGGTTTAGGGTTTAGGGTTTAGGGTTTAGGGTTTAGGGTTTAGGGTTTCTACTGGGCTACCAAGAGGCGCAAGTCGTACGAAGTGTCGAAGTCCTTCGAGGGCGTGGGGTCAATGGCCGAAGGGGGTGGCCAGCCCCAAGCAGACTGAGGGCTGGGCCAGAACCTCGGCGGGGACGAAAGGCACCCCAAAAGGTTTAGGGTTTAGGGTTTAGGGTCTAGGGTCTAGGGTTTAGGGTTTAGGGTTTAGGGTTTAGGGTTTGGGGTCCGCCGAACCTGGCGGCGTGTTGGATGGGAAAAGGAGGTGAAAACCTCCCTCTTTCCCTCCTTACCCCCCCAAAACCTTGCAGGGGGGGGGGGGTAGGGGGGGGGCAGGGGGGGTACGAGGAACAGGCCACCCACACCGCGTAAAATCATGGACCATAGGCGTTTTCGCACAATAGGGGCTCTTTTGGAAAAAACCCCTCTTTGGGGAACCCCCTACCCCCTCCCGCCCATCCCCCCACCCCACCCCCCCCACCCCCCCCCACCCCCCCACCCCCCCACCACCCCCCCCCAACAGGAACCGCAAACAAAATCACCAAACCCCAAACCTTAAACTTGTTCTCCTGCGGGGTCGGCGGCTTGAGCCGGAGGCTCTTAAATTTTCGTACACCTCAATCGGAAATCATAGTATAGTCAGGGTCATATAACCCCCAATTTTAGGGTTCTTCTTCGTCCCCCAAGGAGCACGCACCCGTCCATCTGGTCCACGTAGGGGCGCTTCAGGAGGATGCTCCGGTTGTTGAGGCTGAAGCTTTGGATCAAGCCTCCTCTACTAGTTGCTTAAGAACCCCCCCCCCTCCCCCCCCCCCCCCCCCCCCCCCCCCCAAAAAAAAGGTCCCTGTCTTGCCCTTAGGGAGGAATATTTCAATTTTTTGAGGGGGGGGGGTTCTCAAGCAGTTGGTAGTCCTTTGATGGTAATGGCCTCAAGGACCATCGACAAGTTCCCGGACACCAGCTCCAAGACCACGCCGGGCACCGTCACATTGCCGGAGGCAATCTCGCGCTGCTCAAGCTTGACCTCGGGCGCCGACTGCGCATGGCCACGGGAGGCACGCGCCTGCAGGAGTTTCAGCTCTTCAGGGTTGTTCTCCATATTCTCCTCAGCGGCCAAGCTGCCCGGGTCGAAGATTGTTGCCAGTGCGGCATGACTCGAGCCTGCTCCGGCGGAGCAGGTGGCGACGACCCAAGTCACCAGCAGCCACGCAGAGCGCACCCACGCCATGTCCACAGCAGCTCCGCAGCAACCGAGCAACCAGTTTGTCAGTTCGAGTACCCGGTTGAGGTCCGATGGGCTCAAGACTTAGTTGCTGAGTTCACAAGCCTCCCAAAAAACTACACTTTCAGTTCTATAGGGGTTTATAGTTATAGTATCCCAAAAAAACTACACTTTCAGTTCTATAGGGGATTATGGTTATAGTATCCCAAAAAGTGTAGAGTGTACTCATTCAGCTGCTAAGAAGACCTTATGGCAGCGGAGTCGGGCACAGGGGTTTTGTACCAAAAAAAACACGCGCACGCACGAAGGGATGGGATGCAGGCCAAGATCTTGGGCTACTTCGGTTGAGGGTTTGACCCTAAACCCTAAACCCTAAACACTAAACCCTAGACCCTAAACCCGAAACCCTAAACCCTGTTGAATATGAGGTTTGTCAGATTTCTCGGGTTTTCGAGAGTTGATGGAAGGGCAGGGATGTGCTGCTCCAGAGGCAATTGCAGGTGGGATCCCTTGCAAACCCTGGGCCCTAAACCCAAACACTACCCTAAACCCTAAACCCTAAACCCTAAACCCTCAACCCTCAACCCTAAACCCTAAACCCTAAACCCTAAACCCTAAACAGCCCCCGCAAAGACCTCCTCCTGCGCCATTGGCAGCCGCTCGGCTCAACCTCCGAGGCTTGAGACAGGTCTTACTTAGCCTTGCTGTGCTTAGGGGCTTAGGGCTTAGGGTTTAGGGTTTAGGGTTTAGGGTTTAGGGTTTAGGGTTTAGGGTTTAGGGTTTAGGGTTTAGGGTTTAGGGGTGTAGGGGTTTAGGGGTTTAGGGGTTTAGGGTTATGCGGGTTAATTAGGGCAGGTCTTGCTTAGCCTTGCTGTGTTTCGGGGCTTTAGAGTCTAGGGGCTTCGGCTAAGCCCTAAACCCTAAACCCTAAACCCTAAGGGCATCAATGCGCTTACCTGGTTTCGGCACACCGTGGAGCAGTTGAACTGCGCCGCTTGAAGCCCTAAACCCCTCGACCCCTCAACCCCTTCAACCCTTCAACTCCTCAAACCCTAAACCCTAAACAGTAAACCCTAAACCCTAAACCCTAAACCCTAAACCCCAAACCCTAAACCCTAAACCCTATAAACCCTACCCCAGGCCTGCGCAGAGCAACCGGCGCTCGCAGCGTTGCTCGCATCACTCCGACGGATGCTCGACTCCCGATGTCCACACTCGTGGGGTCCCAGCAGTTTAAGTGCCAGGGTGGGAGTCCCCGTGCTGGATGATTGGGATGCCCCTAAACCCTAAAACCTAAACCCTAAACCCTAAACCCTAAGCCTTCTTGCCCCAAACCCAAGGCTGCCATAGAGAAGGGCTCGGGCTCTTACATCGTTCAACACCCTGCCTTGCTTCCCCTAAACCCTAAACCCTGAACCCTGAACCCTAAACCCTAAATCCTAAATTCAATGTTTCTTGGGTAACGGCTGGGGCTGGCGTGAAGAGTTCATGACGCCCTTGACCTGTAAGCAGACCTGTAAGCAGACATAGCCGACGGCAGTTGCACAAACATCTTGCTCTCCTGCAACGCCAACACCCCAAACCCTAGAAATCACCCTGAAAACCCCAAACCATGTTAACCCGAGGAATTATTGTAGTGCAAAACTAAATCCTGTACAGAATTTCGGCCTACAATGGAGGGGGGTCCTTTTGACACACACCCACCCACGCGAAAAGGAACGCCAAACCCCAAACCCCGAAGAAGAAGTAGGCTACCATTCTCTGTTTAAGGGCCGCTCCATGGTCCCTTCGCACGGCCCCATTTTCTCAAAAGGGTTCTGAAGTATGGGCCCTTGGGTTGTATAGGGAATATATATGGGGTATATAAGGGGGTATCTAAGGGCTACGTAAGGGGTATTGCAGGGGGCATTTAAGGGCCCATGCGAAGGGACCATGTAACTGCCCGCCTACTCAGGACTTAGGGTTTTGGTTTAGGGAGCTCAGAAGACCCCGCTCCAAACCAGTCCTTATCGCTCAGGCTGGAGAACTGGCTCTATACACTTTACCCGCAGCTTACAAGGGTTTTGGGTGTTGGGTTTAGGGGTTAGGGTTTAGGGTTTAGCGTTTAGGGTTTAGGGGTATGTCTAAACCCTATAAGCCCTATAATTAGGCCCTGTACTAAACCCTAAACCCTAAGACTTGGCGGGGACGCTTCGAAGTTCTAGCCTAAGCCCTGACCACCTCAACCCGAAACCCGAAACCCGAAACCCCAAACCCTAAACCCTAAACCCTAATTAAACCCTATAACCTAAACCCTCATCCCGTGAACCCTGAACCCTAAACCCAAAACCCTAAACCCAAAAATCCAAATCCTGAACCCCAAGTAGCCCCGGTGGGAAGGGCGGGGGGGACTTCATCGCCATTGCCGAGGCCGCCAGCACGACAGCCGGGTCCTCACAGCAGGTTTAGGGTTTGGGGGTTAGAAGTCTAAACCCTAAACTCTGAACCCTCAACCCTAAACCCTAAACGCTAGACCCTAGACCCTACACCCTAGACCGAAACACCTGATGGCACCCTTCGGGCCCTCATCTCTAGAAATGTGGGTTTCGGGCTTCTCGGTGGGTTTAGGGCTTAGGGTTTAGAGTTTAGGGTTTAGGGCACCCTCAACCGCCAACCACCAAGGCCAAACAGCCCCCCACCCCCCCCCTGCTTGTCGGACCCAACTCCGGGACTTGCAAGTAGGGAGGGCTTCGGGGTTGGGGTGTAATGTAAGGATTCGGGATGTCCCTAAAATGGGTACCCTTTTTCGGGAGGGTTTCCTACAATCCGGATAAAACATACTTTGGGGGATAAGCTAAGTGTACCGAGGAACGTGGGCCCCAGACAAGGCTATAGGGTTTGGGGTTTAGGGAATTTTAGGGCTTCTTGATGTAAAAGTGTGGGTCCTTGTGGTAGTAGGCCATATGCTCTCTGTATCGGCCCAAGAGGAGGGCCCCGTGATGTAGCTTAACGGCTAACAACCGCATAGGGGCTACCGGACCCGTCTGTATCTGCCTGCGACTTTGCTACTTTTCTACATACAAATCATGAAACTTTACTTTTGCGAAAACAACACCATATGTAACGAACGCCAGCGAAGAGACGGAGATGCAACGAACTCGCCAGAAGCCACGAAGCGGGTGAACCCCCTAAACCCTAAGCCTGGAACCCTTAACCCTGAAACTTATCCCTAACCCTAAACCCATAAGCCCCCCAACTCAAAACAAACCGCAAAACCTAAACCTTACACCCTACACCCTACACCCTAAACGCTAAACCCTGGCAGACTTTCCTGGTTCTGACCCAAGGCAGAGGAGGAGGCGGTGCTGCTGACAGCCAGGGCGAGACTGGCAGCCTCCCTGACACCTGCGTGTCTGGAACCTAGACCCTAGTAGGGGTTAGGGGGTTTAGGGTTTAGGATTTAGGGTTTAGGGTTTGGGGTTTGGGGTTTAGGGTTTGGCTTGTAGAGTCTAGGGGGCATTGTGCTGGGAACATCGCCCTCTGGCATTGCCAGGTTTTTTACCTTAAACGAAAACGTTTCGGGTGTTGGGTTTGCGGTTTAGGGTCCTTGTAAGAAGCCATATGTATTGCTTAGTTGAGGCAAATCGGGCTCATTAGGTCCCACATGCCCAAAACACAAGAACCCATTGAAACTTGCTCATAGCAGCCCCACAATGCCAGCCTAGAAGCAGAAACCCTAAACCCTAAACCCTCTCAGAGTCGTTTTGCTGACGCCCATGGAGCCCTGCAGCCCCAAACCCTAAACCCTAAACCCTAAACCCTAAACTGGAAACCCTAAACCCTAAACCCTAAACCCTCGGAGTGCCTGTGTCGGAGTTGTGCCGCATCAGTCGCAGGGTCCTCTTCTCCGCCCTGTCTTGCCGCTTCCCAACGACACCTCAGCGAAAAGGCTCAGGGGTTCAGGGGTTTGAGGTTAGGGTTTATAAGGTTTAGGGTTTAGGGTTTAGGGGTCAAGGTTTCAGGTTTTCAGGGTTGAGGGTTTCAGGGCTTCAGGGGTTTCAGGATTTAGGGATAAGGTTCAGGGTTTCAGGGTTTCAGGGTTTAGGGATGAGGTTGAGGGTTTTTAGGGTTTCAGGGTTTCAGGGTTTAGGGTTTAGAATTTCAGGGTTTAGGGGTTTGAGGGTTATAGGGGTTTAGGGTTTAGGGGTATAGAGGCTTTATTTGGGGTTTAGGGTTTAGGGTCTACTTGAAGATTCATGGGTACATAATGGGGATAGGAGTTCTTAGTCCCGCAAATAAGGCTCTATCCATATTGAACCCACTTATAGCGCTTAGGGTGAGTTTGTTTTGTGCTTTGGGGTTGCAGTTGCAGGGTTGAACAGGAAGGAGCGACGGAACCACTTGTCAGCTCTTTTGCAAGCATCTTGGCTTTAGGGTGTGGCGTTTAAGGTTTAGGGTTTATGGTTTGGGTTTAGGGTTTTGGGTTTTGGGGCTCTCATGGTTAAGGTTTAGGGTTTTGTCGTAGTTGTCCAGTAGCCTGGGGGAATTCAAGGTTAACCTTTGGGATTAGAAGGGGATTATACTACCCCAAAAATGTTAAAGGTTACCTACTCTACTACTAGGTTGTTGTATTGGCTTTTGGGTTTCGGGTTTAGGGTTTGAGTTTCGCTACAGAGGGGTGTCCCTTTCACCCACCAGGTCACCAGGAGCGAAGCTCTTGCCATAACGTATGCAGGACTGTCGGCTTGTCACTTACTGTAAGTTGCTACATGGAACTTATGGACACAATCCAAAGGCAAATTAAGTATCGCAAAATCTGCCTGTTGCCAGAAACATAGGTTGTTGGGATACTTTGCCGGAACTAGTCCCCTGAAAGCCAAACCACCCGAAACCCGTCTTGGAGCGTGGGCTCTGAAACGACTCGGCCGCCAAAAGACGAGCCTGGAGACAGGGCAGGACAGTTCAGAGGACAGGGTGTGGGCTCCCCGTGTTTTCGGGCATACTTGGAGGTTCATGGGTGCTTGGGT